AAATGATATGAGATAGAATGGTTGTGATCAATGCTTATGTGGAGATACCACGTGTGTTATATAGGTTCCACCTAATTCTACAGAATCCTTGGGAGTTCTGATCCTTAAGTCTCATGGAATTTTTCCAGAAGCAAAATTGTTTTGGATTGGAGTAGCAGCATTGATTGGATATATTTTTCTATTCAATCTCCTCCTTACTTTGGCTCTGCATTATCTTGATCGTAAGTATCGTCATCATTTGTATGCTCTTTGTGCTTTGATTGTTGGACTTATTTTTCTAAAAAATTGACGAATACTGCAGCACTCGGGAAGCCTCAGACAGTACTAACCAAAGAAAGCATGGCTGAGCGAAATTTTAGCAGAAATGGAGAGTTCATTGAGCTAATACCAAGAGGAAAGATCTCTTCTGGTGAGTCATTCAGTTAATCTCAATCATTTCCCATTTATTTTCTGCTTAACATACCACATTGTATTCAAGCGTTGTGTGCAATAACAATGCAGAATCCGAAAGAGTGGGAAGAACTGATGAAGCTAATGGAAAAAGGAAGCGAGGGATGGTTCTTCCTTTTCATCCCCTTTCCCTCACTTTCGATGAGATCAGATATGCCATAGATATGCCACAAGTAAGTTGCGGGTTTAATTAATCAGTGAATAATACCTGCATACTGAATTATCCATGTACTTCAGGAAATGAAAGCGGAGGGTGTTCAGGAGGATCAGCTTGAACTTCTGAAGGGTGTAAGTGGTGCTTTTCGGCCAGGAGTCCTAACAGCGTTAATGGGAGTCAGTGGTGCCGGCAAGACCACTCTAATGGATGTGTTGGCTGGAAGGAAAACTGGTGGACATATCAAGGGAAACATCACGATCTCTGGCTATCCTAAAAGGCAAGAAACATTTGCTCGCATATCTGGATATTGTGAGCAAACTGATATCCACTCTCCCCATGTGACAGTCTATGAATCTCTACTTTTTTCTGCCTGGCTCCGGCTACTACCTGAGGTTGATTCTGCAACAAGAGAGGTATGAGTTGTGTATTCTTCTTTAACAGACGCTAAAAAAAAAAAAAAAAAAAAAAAAAAAAATCAAACATCAGCATGTGCACGTTGATCTGATATTTTTCCGGTTCAAGATGTTTATCGAGGAAGTCATGGAACTTGTGGAGCTGACTTCATTCAGGGGAGCTCTTGTGGGATTACCTGGTGTAACCGGTCTGTCAACTGAGCAGCGCAAAAGGCTAACGATCGCAGTTGAGCTCGTTGCAAATCCATCGATAATCTTCATGGACGAACCAACATCTGGCCTCGATGCTAGGGCAGCAGCGATTGTGATGAGAACAGTGAGGAACACAGTGGACACGGGAAGAACCGTGGTTTGTACCATCCACCAGCCAAGCATAGATATATTCGATGCTTTCGATGAGGTTAGATTTATAATATTCAGAAGGGAACTGATTACCTGTTTTGCCTTGTAAATGTTCTAAGCAGTTCATGTCGTACCGCAGCTTCTTCTTCTGAAATTGGGAGGTGAGCAAATATATGCCGGTCCATTAGGCTCCCATTGCTCCATTCTGATCAATTATTTTGAGGTCAGTACTATACAGAAATAAATCATAAAATATATTTTCTTCGTAGCATCAGAAATTCTCTGTGCAGGGTGTCTGTTCTACAGCCATACTATCCATAACATTGTCAATAACTAACTTTTGTATTCTTCTTTTTCTTTTGCCGCTTGAAGGGAATCAATGGAGTTCCAAAGATTAAAGATGGATATAACCCGGCAACCTGGATGCTGGAGGTTACTTCAGCCGCACAAGAGGCAGCTCTTGGGGTTAACTTCACAGATGCGTACAATAACTCGGAAATATACAAGTAATGTTCCATTTCAATTATCTTTCAGATAGATTGTTAGTGAACACGGTAAAACCTTATATTTATCAGCCTGCACAGTTGATTCCTATTGCTCTTTAAAACCATTAAAACTATTAAGGTGAATATTTCAGGAGAACCAAAGCAATGATTGAGGAATTAAACACACCTCCCTCGGGTTCTAAAGATCTATACTTCCCTACTCGCTACTCACAATCTTTTCCCACCCAATGTATGGCTTGCCTGTGGAAACAGCACTGGTCATATTGGCGAAACCCATCATATAGTGCAGTAAGGCTGTTGTTCACAACGTTCATCGCTTTATTATTCGGTTTGATATTCTGGAACCTTGGATCAAAAAGGTACGCACATAAGTAAACTTAAAGCATAATAATGGTCTGCAGAACTTCAATTTCTTAATCACCAATATGTTCAAACTTTTTTGGGGAAACCACAGGAGTAAGCAGCAAGATCTCTTGAATGCAATGGGTTCCATGTACGCTGCTGTTATCTTTATCGGGGTACAAAATGGTGCCTCAGTGCAGCCGGTTGTGGCTGTTGAGAGAACAGTCTTTTACAGAGAAAGAGCAGCTGGAATGTATTCCGCTTTGCCATACGCATTTGGGCAGGTAAAAGACTTGCAATAGTCCATGAAGTTCAAATTAAATCTAGACTTCTCATGTAAAAAAATTCAAAGAACACATGCTCTCTACTCACCAAGTGACATTGTGTTGCAGATGATGATTGAGGTTCCCTACATCTTCATTCAGACCGTTATTTACGGAGCTATAGTATATGCCATGATGGGATTCGATTGGATAGCTGCCAAGTTCTTATGGTACCTTTTCTTCATGTACTTCACCTTGCTGTACTTCACATTCTACGGCATGATGACCATGGCTCTCACTCCGAACCACAACATTGCTGCAATAACCTCATCTACCTTCTACGCAATCTGGAACCTCTTCTCGGGATTCGTTGTTCCCCCAACGGTAAGCCTATACATACATGTACATGCATACGCTCGTACATATATTCTTGCGTGCCTTGGATGCAATCTGACTAAGTTTTGGTTATCGCAGAGGATTCCGATATGGTGGAAATGGTACTATTGGGTCTGCCCTGTTGCCTGGACCTTGTATGGAATGGTTGCTTCGCAATTTGGAGACGTAAAGGAGAAACTGGAGTCAGGAGAATCGGTAGAGCATTTTTTGAGAAGTTACTTCGGATACAAGCATGAGTTTCTGGGCATCGTTGCAGTTGTGATTGTTGGGTTTTCATTGCTGTTTGGGTTCATCTTTGCCTATGCAATTAGAGCATTTAATTTCCAAAAAAGATGAGAGATGTTATACAAAGAAATATCTATGACTCTAATTAGTTTGTAGGAAGCAGATAGCATTTGTCACTTCGATTGTACCATTCATCCATCACTGTTATAATATTGTATATTATTGGGAGTTTTTTATTTATTTATTTTTTAATCAAGAAATAAACTTCATTCAAGCTTAAAACTTTTTGTACAATCGTTTCCCATACAATCAAATATAAAAGCTTTATAAGCTAAGTTCGTGATGTTCCACTTAACATGGTTGAAATCAGACCCCGGCTATCTTATATCTTCGATAATGGATTTCAGGTTCTATGAAGCATCCCAGATTTCCTGCGCCGATTGGATAATCAGTCTTGAATATCCCTCCACCATAATGTTCTTGATTCCTCTAAATCACCTCATTATTTCTATCATTCGAAATTTGACAGCAGTTAAGAAAAGCCTTACATAAGTCACAACATAATTCCTCCTTTTCTGTGGAATTCAAAGTTTCCATCCAATCTATCATATTGTCAAATTGAATAGCATTATTACTGAATGGACTTACTGGAGGCAAATTCCAATCAGTTTTTGCATATTGGCACTTAAGTGGCCTTGATCCTCTTCATCTCTACCACATAATGGACACATTTTATCAGCATTTTTAATAATTTTACTTAGACGTTTCCTAGTTTCAAGCCTCTCGTGAATTAGAAGCCAAGCAAATATTTTCACCTTTGGGGGAATCAACAGATTCCACATTTTGTTTAGCAACTTTTGTCTACTCACATCCTCGTAGTTATGACTTTGTAACCAAGTTGCAGTCTTAATTGAAAATTCTCCATTAGTTGAAGCACCCCACACAAAACTTTCATTTGTATTTTGAATATGAAGAGGAATATTACAAATTTTCCTAACAATGTCCTCATCAACAACTTCAAAGTCAGATTTCTATCTCAACAATTATTGTCAATAAAATCACCGACTCTTAACTCCGAGTTCAAACTTGTCGGCTGACTCTTTGGAATTAATTGGTATAGTGGGTAATGAAAAACTCATTCATGGGTCCAAAATAAGCTATCTACCTCATACCCTTATGTATGATATTCCTATTATTGAGGATGCCCTTTCAAGCCAAAGATTAAGGAAAAACTCATTGATGAGTCCATAATAAGATGTCCTCATACCCTTGTGTATTGTTGAAGATGGCCTTCCAGGCCAAAGAGTGATTTCGTTTAACATTACAATCTATAAAATTATCCTTCCTAAGATATTTCATTTTGACAATCTGAACCCACCAACTATCATCGATAGTCAGCACTTTCAGTTTAGCTAAACAAGCATTGTTAAAGTGATCTAGCCTTCTAATAGCTGGTCGTCCTTGCTCTTTCGAGGAACACGCTTTAATCCACTTGGTTAAATCCATGTCTGAAACAATTAAAACTTGGAAAAAAAAAAAAATAAGGCAATTGGAAGTCCCTTAAGAAGCACATAATAAGTACTTAAACGGTTGGAACCCAAATACATTTTAACTTGTTTTCTGCCATAGAGTTTCCAAAGAGATTTTCACCCCTTTATAGAAGCATTCCCAAAAAGCGCTTAATCAACCTTAACTAAAAAAAAGTCTTACATGTCACGTGTACACTACCATGATGACGCCTCATGCCAATAAAATAAAGATATGTAAAAGTTTTTGTCCACATGTCCTTTCATTTGCAACACCATGTGGTTGTACACCCGTGCGTAAGTTGTTCTCCTTAATAAGGCTACCCGTGCGGAAGTTGCTCTCCTTGGACATCCAATAAAATAACGAAGGTAAGTTCACGAAAAAGTAATTCCACTGTAAATCCCATCCACTAATTAAAATCATATCAAGGACTGTCTACACGAGTTAAATCAGAGGTTATAAAATAACAACAAATTAGGTTACCGACTTGGCCGCCACCTATTTTACAGTTGGAACTCGAAATCTCAGTAAAACTACAACGAAAATTTTCAATTAGACAAACACATCACGTAGAGGGGAAAATAGGCTAAACCATTCGTCGTCATCTCAAGTTTTCAAATCATCCAAGACGCTCTGCAACTCTTTCAAACCTTCTGCGGAAAAACTCCGGTGCACTCTTGAGCGAGGGGCAATCAAATTAGGCGGAGGCTGTGGTTGGAAGCAAACGACGACAACAGCTAAGTTGTCCCCGCTCTTCCTCTTCAAAGCCTCATCAACCAAATCCTTGCTACATGCGGCTGGGTCATTGTGCTCCTGAAGCCTCCGACGAGCAAAATCCACAGCATTTTGACTCCTGAACACTTCCCAGATCCCATCACAGCCAATGATAAGGAACTCATCCTCCTCTGTCAGTTTTGCAGTCGTAAGTTCCGGCTCTGCACTCAGTGGCCCACCCTGCCTGCCCTTCATCCCTTCCATATGCCAATCTCCCAATGCACGAGCAACGTTAAGCTGCCCATTAAGGTAACCATCATACACGTATCCTCCAGATGCTTCGATACGTTGTTTCTCTTTGCTACAAATCGGTTTGTGATCTCTTGACATTTCAATTGCTTTGCCACGGCGGCACAGCACCGCTCGACAATCTCCAGCATTTGCTACCACCAACAACCTGGGAACACAAACTAAGATCAACATATGACTAATCAATGGCAGACATCTTATGTTACGTCTGTTAGTACTATTTTGAGACTCGTGGGACAAATTAACAGGACATGCATGAACAGAATAAACAGAGAAAATCCAGATCAAATCACAATCAACTAAACAAGTATGATTGGCCTAACAAACCCACTCACTAGCCCTCTGTAGTAGATTATGACCGTGTTAGCATAACTTGTGCACAGCTAAACAGGTCAACTAGATCATAGATTAACCACACCATAAGGAAATAATTTCAACAGAATATGACTAGGTTGCTTAATACTTTCCAAGTATTTTCTCCAGTCTTTAATTAAAACTCCAAGCTTTGCTTCAAAAGGCAATGGACCAACCCTTACAATTTAGGGTACTAACCCGATTATGCTTATAGTGTCATTGATCAACAATGAATCAAGTCGACAATTCATTCAGAAAAAACAAAAGAATTCAGGAATGAGACTAAAATTCCACAAACATCACAAATTCGGGGGAGTACAACACACAGTAGAAAAAAAATGAAAGACAATAAAATTGATGTACATTGAACGGTCATGATACATGCATCTATAGTTCAGAGGTAGAGTAAACAAAAAAAATCCAACCTTCCCATTAGAAGAGCTGTCAATGCAGTGGTACCAGAAGCAAGCTTGGCATCCAAGGTGCAAGCTTCCTCAAAGGCAGTGTCAGTATGCAGAAATGCTGAAGTGATGACCCGTTCAATATCTGTAGGAAAGTCTTCATCCTCAAAAATGAACTTTGGCAGATGAGAGGAAGCAAAATCAGCAGCATGCTTTCCTCCATGTCCATCAAACACCTGACCAACCAATACGGTAGGAATGTTCAAGTAGGAAATGCTGAATATATATTAGCTAGCAAGTGCAATACATATAGATCACCATGTTTAATATAAACAACAATACCACAGGACGGAAAGCTACCTCTGAAGAACTGACGCATATAATAAACGAATGAAAACCAAACAATTCACAGTAGAATGTAATTGCACCGTGTGTAAGGAAATTCGTAAGAACATATGTAAGAGAAGATAAATACCCCATAGAAGGCATTTGGACCATCGGTACGATTCTTGAGCCCGTAATCGTTCACAAAATTGTCAACGCAGACATATACATCTTCCATGTTTAGACGAGACCCAATGTCATCCCATGCTCCAGAGCGGACAATTGGAATGAACTTAGATTCAAAGTTCTTTGCTTGAACTCCTGGTTCAACGTTGATCTCTTTTGTTTTCGTCTTCATCTGCAAAATCCCATTCATACATTCAAAAATTGCACCACGGCCATAAAATTTACATTAGACAATTTAATCGCTACGAAAACAGATCTTCAAAACTCTGAAAACAGAACCACTAATAGCAAGTAAGCATAATTAATCAAAACTCTATAATTCAGTTATACACAATTAAATGCCTAAACATACAACTAATGACTAAACATCTAAGAAATCCAAATGGGAAAATGCAGAAGCAGAGGAATGAACGAACATACAAGAGATGGGTGTCGAACGAGCGATTTCTTGCACGGCATAGGAACGCCATCGGCGCGGCTGAATCCACACTGCCAGTACGCGGAGGTCGAAAGAGGGTTCGGAGGCCGACCCTCGCTTGAGCTTCCATTCTCTACTTTACTTCCCTCCATAGTTCTCTACCATCAACATCCTCTCCCCCACCAACCCACCAAAATTCAATTCTCCAAATGTGACTCACTGATCTTGTTCTGCTGAACGATAAGGGATTTAGCTGAAATGGTTATGTGGGTCGGTGCTTAATTTCGAAAAAAGTAGGGCTTTTGGTAGAGAAATGATTTGGGCTTACTGGAGGGGATGACTAATCAGTTGAATCCCCTGGGAATTGCTGTTTCTGAAACGAAGAGGTTCGATTTTTGTTTTTACAATTGGATTTGGGGATTTAGGGTTTCGCAGGTGCAGACATTGAAAAGAATGGGAATTTTTGTGTCTAGGAAAGCAAGTACAAGAACAGGATTTTAGAGAGAGAGAGAGAGTTAGGGTTTTAGAGAGTGACGAAATCTCAGTGAAAGCGATGCACTGTGAGAGTTTTTGGGCGATCTGCACGAAGACACTGGTTTCTGCTGAATGCTGAGATTTAACTGGTCGGTTTCTTAGGGAAACCAAAACTGCGTCGTATAGGCAACTAGCAACAACTGCGTTTTTGACTTAAGACTTCATAAGTCGCATGCTTTGGTCATTTTCGAGGAAGTACATCTTTTTTAATAAATATCTAAAAGTAATTTAATTTAAAAAGAAGGAGAAAGAGACAATCTGCATCTCCAATATTTAGAAAAGGATCTGGCGAGCGATTCTGTAATCATATATGTTAATTGTATATTGTGTGGTTAGTTTTCGTTAAATACTATTTATATTTAATTTAAAATTTAAAATAATTTTTAATTATACGATGAACTGACATGATTACGAGATCCTTGGAATTCCCAAAAAAAGTGTCAGGCATGTGAATGAGTTAATTTGGGGCGGGGCCTATGTCTTTTTTGAGTTGGGTGAAGTCCGAAGCACGTGAATGAAACTCTCAGAATGTTGTGCAGCTTTTAATGGGTGAGCCCGCTACTTTTCTTTTGTTTATTGATAGAAGATCAAGGTTGTAATAGTTTTTTAAGTTTTTTTATTTTTTTATTTTTGAATAAAGAATATTATCTACGCTAAAAAAGAAGTATAGGCTTAGCTACATAATAGGTTAGGAATAATATGGTTCAAAGCCTTTAGTGATAATCGAACTTAAGACCTCTCATTTACAAATGAAGATGAATATCATTAAATTTAAGGATTATACTATAAAGACACTCTCATTAGACCTAATATTCTTATAGGAACATGTGTATTCCCATTAAATCCCTAAATGAGTCCTCAAAGGTGGTTGCGGGAATTCGTGAATGGAGACTCTCATTGGAGATGTTCTTACGATCAAATTGGGGACTCCTTATTTAGGAACTCTCGCCACTGCATTTGAGGACTCATCTAGGACTTTAAAGGGAATCTTTGTGTTTCTAAAAGAATATTGCCTCCAAACAAGAGTACTTATAGTAGAATTCCTATATTTGAGATTTTTATGATTTTATGTGATAATTTGATTAGGTGCAATTTTTTTTTAGTTAACTTTTTTTTAAATAGTTTAAATTTTGTTGCCGTAAAATATTTTTGTGAACATTTGAACCAAAAAAATTCAAATTCTAACACCAAATTTTTTTCTTCACACAAATGTATCATGTCTATGTCATGATCAATTATGTAATTTTCATGCTTGGTTGGAGCCTCCCTTGAACCCGCCCTGGTAGCATTTGCTAATTGGTCCAAAGTCAAACCAAGGTTAAAGCACTCAGCACTCCAACCAATACCAACGAAATTTAAACTTAAGATTTTTGGGTGCTATAGTACTCCGGTTTTTTAAACATTAGATTTTGATTTTGAGTATACGTACAAATATAGTACCGAGTACGATCTAGAATATTAATTAAAGAATTTTTGTTGTTCCAACTTATACTAATACGCAGGTGGAATGGCTTAATTGTCACCAGCTTCTGCTGAAAGAGAGAGGTTTTGCAGGAGTAGTTGGTTGATTTTTTTGAATGTATCTGCAGAAAAAGAGAGCGACAAACAATATATATATTCTCTCTCTAACTGAGAACTGGAAACTCATTCCCACACGCATCTACAAGAGAAAATCGTGGCAAGAGACGGCAAGCAACTATTGGTTCATGATGGAGGGTCCAACCCCAGATGGCTTGTTTTAGAGGGTCACCATTGAGGTCTTTGTCATCTCTTTTAACCTTATGCAACCAAACCCACCTTCCTCTTTTGATATATACGATCCCTCTCCTTCTGTCATTGCTTAAATTCAGAGAGAACAGAGAGAGAGAGAGAGAGAAAGGGATGACTGTTACAAACTTCAATTGCTGCCTCAATCCGCCACCTTCAAATCAAAACCATGGTTCAAGCCCTTCTTTGCCCTTAAAGAAAAACCAAGCACTTGCATGGTATGTGTAATCAAACCCAAATCTCATGCCTCGTATTTGTTGCGACAAAATTTGTCTTGTTATCCTTGTTTACGTGACAGTATTGAGTGGCAAAACATTCATCGTGAAAATTTATAATTGAATAGTTAGATCATTCAACACTCTCACGTAATAGAAATACCTCATCCAATATTTTTTTTTTCTCTCTTTTTTTATAATGACCAATCGGAAGTTATGCATGAAGAGGTCATTTTGGTGTTTAATTATGTCAAATATTTATGTGTGTAGGAACAAATATGCTCATGGATCATGGACTAATCGATGCGTTTTAGGTATGAGTTGCGCAATTGGATTGGAAATGGGAACCCTAGTAAGCAACCAAAACTATGAGGCCATTGCTAATGCTATGCCTTCGCCGTTGGAAATAGAAACATATAGTGATCAGAGGGTTGAAAAATGGAGTGACAAAAGAATATGCCCACAATGGAGCCCTAATTCACAAGAGACCATTGTGCCTGAAAATCTCCCAAGATCATCTGCTCAAAGGAGATGGGAAACAGTTGGTTTTTCTAACGAGGATGCTCCGGCGGTTCAAATGGTAGTTAGAAAAGGTGGCAACTGCTTTGCTATGTAGATTTACAATTTGACACACCATGTATATGAACCATCTTGATAGCCAAATACAGAATCAATGAAATATCATCAAGTAGGCATTTTATCTGTCGGATTCTTCTTCATTTTGGGAAAATTGTGAACCAGATATTTGTAAAAATTTGGAAGCTATGCAGTAAAACATTTGATTTTTAGAATTATAGAGATTATAGTTTAGTACGTGGTACATGTAATACAAACTTCGTAAGTTGTTTAAAGAAAAATAAAAATAAAAAACAAAAACACAGAAAAGTACTAATAGGAGCCTCCTTTGAGATGGTCAACTATTCGAGGAGGGCTAGTGTCAGAGAGGAAATCAGGCCAACTATTCGAGGAGGGCTAGTGTCCTAGTGAAAATCAAGCACCCTTGTCGCCTTCCTTGTTATAGGCTTTTCCACTTCCCTTCTACCCAAGGTCTTAAATGCCGATAATATCAGCGATATTTCGCCGATATTATCGGTTTTTTTCTTTGTCGATATTTTAATAGGTATCTAAGGAGTTTTCGTCAAAATATCGCGATATTACCGATAATATCACGATATTACCGATAATATCGCAATATTACCGATAATATCGCGAAATTTTGGATCTGTGCAAATCGGAGAAGAACACCAGAGCTTCTACAGCTTCGGCCGACTGTAAAAGAGCACCCTAGACTCCGATCTAGGTATCAAAATGAAATAGAAGACGAGAGGAATGTTTTTATAACTTCCGTTTGCCGTGAAACGGTCGGAGGTGTTCGGAAAGTTCATCGACACCCACGGCCTCGCCGGAGATGGGTGTGCCTATTCCCGAGCCGATTTCATCCCAAAAACCTTACAAAAACACGAGATAGAACTTCAATTTCACATCTAAGCTTCGATCTAGAACAGAAAGAGGTAAACCTAAAACTTACCTAACCGGAGAAATTCAAGAAACACGCCAGAGGGTTCTTGCGTTCGCCGAGTTGCAGAGACGAGAAGGAGAGGGAGAAAGACGAGGTGGGTGTATTCCTGAAGCATGTGCGATGGTGTGCGTGTGTGTATGTGGGTCTCGGTGCAGAGAGAAATGAGGGATGAGAGTTTCAAGAGAGAGACGGCGCCGACGAGGCGGAAGACGCGAACGAGGAGGAAGGCGAGGGAAGAGCAGAAGGCCATGTGGGAGAAGGATCGAGAGACTGAGGTCTCTGTGCGTGTCTGTGGGAGAAGGGAGAAGAGAGATCAAGAGATCTGTGTGTGTGTGTGTGGGAGAATGGAGAAGGGAGAGAAGAGAGAAGGATCGAGAGAGAGAGAGAGACTGAGGTCTCTGTCTACGTGTGATGTCTGTGTGCGTGTGTTGTGTGCGTGTGTGGTGGCGTGTCTGTGTGTGTGTGTGGGGTTATGTTAGGAACTTCCTGACAACTTTGAGAATTACTTTTTCACAATTTCAGACCAAGGACAAAAATAATGGTGATTTCATTGAAACGAATCTAAATAATTCAAAACGCAAACAACTTTTACAATTATAACTTGTACAATTTCAGACCATGGATGGTGGTTTCATTTAAAACCGTGTGCCATTGTGATATTCTTTCACATTCTCAGAGGTGGAGTATCAGATCATCACACATATTTTGACCCTTCGAAGATTAAAACCTCTATTACACCTTTTCGTTTCTTCTTCTTCCCTTACCCCTTTCAGGGCTGGTTTGGTATTGTTGTGCTTTGAAAAAAAGCTGCTGTGAGAATAAGCGGCTGTGAAATAAATCAGTAGAGTGTTTGGTAAACTTTTTTGTAAAAATGCTTTTGGAAAAAAAAAAAAAAAAGCAGTCTGATAGTGGGTCTTTTCATTAAAGGAGCACTGTAGCTCTGTGTGCTTTGAAAAAAAAACCAGTTTTCCAAAGCTGCAAATAGCAGCTTCAGCGTTTTCCTTTGATTTCAGCTTATTCTTACAGCAGCTTCCAAAATAAGCTATTTTTTTTCAGTTTACCAAACACCTAAAACCCTCACAGCTTTTTATCATGGGTGTTTTTTTTTTAAGCACCTCACTCTCAAACCACCCCTCAGAGCCATTCCAGATCCATTCAAGAGCTTCAACACAAAGGGTTCCATATTTAAGGTAAGTTTACAAACTTATATTTATATTATTGTAATTTATACAACAACAAAAAAATTTGTGTGGACTCGTATGTTAATTTTTTTTAAGTAATTAATACTTGCATGCTAATTTTTTTAAGTAATTAAGTAATGTTTCGTTTCTTCTTCTTCCCTTACCCCTTTCAGAGCTATTCCAGATCCATTCAAGAGCTTCAACACAAAGGGTTCCATATTTAAGGTAAGTTTACAAACTTATATTTATATTATTGTAATTTATACAACAACAAAAAAATTTGTGTGGACTTGTATGTTAATTTTTTTAAGTAATTAATACTTTCATGTTAATTTTTTTAAGTAATTAAGTAATGTTAACAATTACATGTTAATTTTTTTAAGTAATTAAGTAATCTGGTATAATTATTCCCTAGGATAATTTTAATATGTTTAATGTTATTTATTATCTTATTAATATTAGGTTTTATTATCAAATTGAATTATTATTCATTAATATTAGGTTTTTTTATTATTAAATTGGAATATTATTCATTAATACTAGGTTTTATTATTCCATATTATTTTTATAATTACTTAAATTTTTACAATCATTTTCTTTACTTCGTATTTAAGTAATTAAGTAATGTTAACAATTACATGTTAATTTTTTAAGTAATTAAGTAATGTTGTATAATTATTCCCTAGGATAATTTTAATATGTTTAATGTTATTTATTATTTTATTAATATTAGGTTTTATTATCAAATTGGATTATTATTCATTAAATTGGATTATTCATTAAATTTGATTATTATTAAATTTGATTATTATCAAATTGGATTATTATTCATTACTATGTTTAATATTAGGATTTTTTTTTATCAAATTGGATTATTATTCATTAATATTAGGTTTTATTATTCCATATTATTTTTATAATTACTTAAATTTTTACAATCATTTTATTTACTTCGTATTTAATTCTTCTGTAGAATAACTTTATTATTTAGGTTCTCTTATATAACCGCCATCACTACTATATTTTTTGGCCAAAAAAAAATTGTCTAATTTTCATGAAAAATAAATATAGGTACGTTTAAGATGTCCATTGGAGTTACAAAACGTGATCCAGCTTGGGAACATGGAGACCCAATAGACGGAAACAAACATGGCACAATTTGCAAATATTGTGGTCGGGTAATGAAGAGTGGCGGAGTGACACGACTTAAATACCATCTTAGTGGATTAGATCCAGCAAAAAATGTCCAACGATGTGACAGCCCGTCCCGTATTATCATTTTCGAAAGTGTGAAATTACTAAATGTCCTTGAACGTTTTAAAGATTTAAAGTATTAGGGTTTATTTAGTTACCCTAATGTTAAAAGTTGGATGATTTTGGACAAGGACATATTGTTTGTTTGTGTTGATGAGTGTGGCTTTTGGAACCCACACACCCTCGGGATTCACACAGAAATCTCCCTTTTTCTTCTTCTTTCCCGTGATTCCCTCAAACATTCACTTTCACTCTCTTTCTCCCGTCGAGCTCTCTCTCTATACACGGACAACCCCCAAAACTTCTTCAAATCTTCACAGATCGAAGAAAATAAAACCATCATCGTCTTCATCTCGACGATACGAGTCCAACCATACCTATTTCAGGTAAGATCTCTAACGTTTTCACTTCGAAATCACAAACTCCGATTTGGGTACTATTCATCAACTTTGTATTGGTTGATTTTTAGGAGTTTTTAAGCTCATAGGGAGCTTAAGGAGGTCCTTAGGAGGCTCGGGGTAGTTCGTTGGAAGTTTTTGGACGTAAGAACAAGGAGATCGAAAAGTTCAAGTTTGACCCGTGCCTTTCGAGGAGTTTTCCGGCCAAACCACGGAGTGTTAGACGTCGTGCGAGGTACCATTCTCTTCGTCTCTTCGAGAACTACAACTTTTCGTTTTTGTTTCACCCAATTTCGTTGAGTATTAAAGAAGTTATACTCATTTGAATCTTACCCAGTTTCCGGCGAGTCTGACGGCTTTCAAGGCTTTTTCCGATGCATTCCCGGCGAGTTAAGGGTCGATACAGGTATAGATGTGTTCGTCTCGTCAATATCCTCATTTTGATATAAAGAACGTTGAAAATGGGGAAGAAATGAAGAAGTTATGGCAATTTGAAAAACTGCCCAGAAACTGGCAAAACCAATCCGGCGAGCCGAGGAAGAAGACACGCGTGGGGGCGCGTAGGTCCGTGCCACCCACGGCGCGTGGGGGCGCGTGTGGGGCCCAAAGTTTTTTCTAAAAATATGTCGATGTCCGTGACGTCGAGTAGATCACTGTGGTATATTCATATACCCAAATTGAGCACCGTATGAGATGTTATTAATGAATGTTGTGTATGTGCGTTTAAATGATGTTTTTATAATTATTCTTTTATAGGTGAGACTTACATGGAGGACGAGCGTAACCAAACTAGGCGTGGGGGTTACAAACCGGCTACTTATCAGTGAGTGGGCAGTTATTTTTCAGTATATATATATATATATGCTTGACGTTTTTCCCAGAAACGTATTTTAAGGAAATGTGATTTAAGTATCCTGTCATATATGCATCATATTTTAGTATGTGCATTATTATAATTATGCATATTGTTGCATGGTGCTGAGGAGGCCCAAATAAGCTACATGTGAGTATAATACATTTGGAATACTATTGAAATATGATTGAAATATGTTTGAGATATAATTGAGATACGATTGTGATACGATTGAGATACAATTGAGATATAATTGTGATACGATTGAGATACGATTGAGATATAATTGTGAAACGATTGAGATATGATTGTGATACGATTGAGATATGATTGAGATATAATTGAGATACGATTGTGATACGATTAAGATATGATTGAGATATGATGAATCATATGATTGAGATGTGATTGAAAGCTCATTTACTTGCACACGTATATTAGCTCCCGCCCAGAGATAGGGGCACAGTCTTTCACGTGATGTTCACCTCCCGCACCGCATGCTCGCCTTGGATCCAAGTTAGGTGCACAGTCCTGTCATATAGACCACTTTTAGTGGGTTCGACTCGTAGGTGACCCGCGATTTATCGCATAGTCTTCACGTGATTGTAGCACTAGAGCATATGATGTTATATACAGTGATGAATTGCAGACCACGTGAGGTGGTATTGAATGTGTGCAGGATATACATATATATACATGATGTGATGAGATAATTATGAGCTATATATGCAGCCAAGGGCTGAGTTGATTGTGATGAGATGATTATGAGCTATATATATGCAGCCGATGGCTGAGTTGATTGTAATGAGATGATTATGAGCTATATATGCAGCCGAGGGTTGAGTTGATTGTGATGAGATAATTATGAGCTATATATGCAGCCGGAGGCTGAGTTGATTGTGATGAGATGATTATGAGCTATATATGCAGCCGATGGCTGAGTTGATTATGATGAAAGAGTATAAACCATATTTATAGCCGAGGGCTGAATTGATTATATGTTATTCCATAACTTTTACATAGAGATGATGAGCATTTAGTTATGATACTTTGGCATGATGTACATTCATATTGTATGGCATGATATTGAGATATATTATGTATATGAGATATACTTTATTCTGGGAAATTATACTTGTTTTATGGCGAGGGGTTAGTATATTCAAAGTGAAAAGAAAGTTTTGAAAAGTTTGTTTTACTGACCCACTCAATTTTGTTTTGCGCCCCTCCAGGTTTAAGATAACAGAGCTTTAGTGGCCACGAGGAATCCAATGGTGTTCTGACAGAATTTATAAAAGTAGGACTCACCCTCGGGTGTTTCATCGTAGTAATTGTATTCTTTAAAGCTTCCGAACTGTGTAAATGGTTACGTCACTCTCACGTGACGGCCAGCATGCCCTCCTTCGGGACGGGGTGTGTCAAACGATGCGATAATGTCCCCCCAGAAGTGAAGGCATTCATCACCACATTATTAAAAAATAAAAAACAGTAGAAGGAAATGATAACACATGGAATGAAAAATATTTGAGCTGGGCTACGAGGAGAAGTCATTGGCCAAGCGGTTGACAGTGATGATGATGACGATGAGGACGAATGTGATGATGACATGGGACCTGAAGAACGATGCAGTTTGAAACAAGCATTACGTGCCTCCAAATAGTTAGCATGGGAAAGAGAACACCTTCATAAAATCCCTAATAGAGCACAAGGTTCCGAGACAAGTGGTGGTGCACAAATGAGACGGGGAGGAAGTGTTAGAGAATCACAACCAACACCACCAATAGCCCCAAGTTTATATAAGTCATCCAAAGCACGTCAAAAGAGTGTTTGGAGTTATTTCACTAGAGGTAATGTGAATGAGGGAATGGGGCGTCTAGTTAGCAAGTTATTTATCTATGAAAATGTCCTTGCTGAGAAGGCATCATCACATCATTTCAAAAATATGGTAGTGGGATGTCAACAGGCCGGTGTTGAAGTACAACCTCCCACTCCCTATGAGGTAAGAAACAAATATTTGGATATGGAGTATAAAGACATTGGCGAGTATGTTAACAAGTTGAGGTCAAAGTGGGAAACTAATGGTTGCACAATCATGTGTGACGAATGCATTAGCCTGACCAGATTGTCTATCATAAACTTCATGGTATACTCCAAGGGAAAGACAATTTTTTTGAAGTCTATTGATGCTTCGGACTATATAAAGAACAACAAGTATATTTACAAATTATTGAGGGATGTAATCATGGAGGTGGGAGAGCATAATGTTGTCCAAGTCGTGACCGACAACGGTTCTGCATTTGTCAAAGCTGGAAAAAAGTTAATGAAGCATCATAATGTGTTTTGGACATCATGTGCAGCACATTGTATTGATTTCATGTTTGAGGCAATGGGGAAGAGAGAGAATGTTGCTAATGTGGTAAAAAGAGCTAGAACGATCACAAATTATATTTACAATCATTGTTGGTTGTTGGCAAAGATGCGTGAATTTTGCAAATGAGAAATTATTCGTCCAGCTACCACTCGATTCGCCACCAACTATATTGCATTAGACAACCTACTTAAGAAGAAAGCAGGGTTGAAGCAACTATTCACTAGTGACGATTGGGCCAACCACAATTTGAGTCGCTCAAATGCAGGTCGTATGGTGGAAAGTATAGTGCTTGATCATGCTTTTTGGACTCAATCAGAACATGTGTGCCAAGTGTTTGAACCTCTTTACAAAGTTTTACGGATCGTTGACACAGAAGTGTATCCTATTATGCGGGCAATATATGAGTTAATGCGTGTAGTGAAGGATGAATTGGAAAGAAAACATGGTGCAAGGTGGGTCATAAAGATAATTGAAGACCGATGGTATAAAACATTATACCACGATTTGCATGCAGCATGTATAAATTATGTCATAATTTGCAATTCATTTCTTTAGTTGCATAAGTATTATTTCTCTTATTAGAGTATGTGTTTCTTTGAACAACATATTATTTGAATCCTCGATACCAATACAGACTCGGTGTTGGAGATGATGGTACCCTTATACGTGCTGTACATAATGTATACTCTAAATTAGACCCTGCATCACTAGCAGTTGGCTAATTTGGAAATGAGGTACACAATTACTTAAATTATAATAATTACTTTGTTGGATTAAACTAACACGATTTATTGAATTCAGCTAACCTAGTTTAAAGATGCAAGAATAACTTTTGGAGAACCAACATCAGTTGCTGCTCGAACAAAAATGTCTTCTAGTAAGTGTAAACATATTTCACTATCAGTTATAGAATTTGTTGGAGTTATTAGGCTTATCAACATTGTTTTTCATTGTAGCTGAATGGTGGATCATGTATGGGACTGATGCACCAACTGTGAGAAAGTTAGCAATCAAAGTATTATCACAAACAGCTTCCTTATTTGCTTGTGAAAGAAATTGGAGCACATTTGCACTCATACACACAAAGCAAAGAAATAGGTTGGCTCATAGTAGGTTGGAAAAATTAGTTTATTGCTACTACAACATGAAGCTTCAAATTCGAGATAAGGAAGCAGAAATAGATCATGTCGACCGTGGTGACCCACTAGATGTGTTTGATATTGTTGCTGAAGATGATGATACAGAGGGTAGCCAACTTTATCAATGGATTAGACCTCTTCATTTAGATGATGATGAAGGCAACCCAGCTCCCAGAGTTGCTGAAGAAGCACGTAATGAAGGGATAAATGTAGAAAGAGTATTAGAGAAGGAGGTGGGATCTAGCAGCGTTGACTATTTGGAAGAACTTTTGCTCCCAAGACCAAGAAACACTGGAATTCCACATTCTTCCAATCCTACACAACCACAACATCGTGCTGATACTAATGATAGCTCTAGTACAAGATCAGGAGACTCACCTACCACCGGAGGTGGGAATGATGAAGGATATAGTGGAGTTGGAGGTAGTGGTGGTGGATATGGAAACTATGTTAGACCACCTCTCGGATTTATGAGCCCCTGCACTGGTGAGGCAAACTTCACGCATGCAACACAAGATGAGGACCATGGCAGTAGGCGGGCAGGACCAGGAATTGGTGCCATAGGGAAGGACTATACTCGTAGAGAAAGAGGCAATGGGATTTTGTTAAGTCAAGAAGATGACTCGTTATCTATAACTTCAGACTCTGTTGGAGTGAGAAGTAGTAACTATGGTTATACTCATAACCAACCATTTCCCTACCCTTCATATCCCATTCCTGTTGGGATGGAATCGAGCGACTCATGGAAACAATCTGAGACTCAATCTTCAAATGATTTTGCTTATGGACAACGTCAACCAATCTCGGATCCATATGGGTGACATGTTAACAATTACATGCAAAACTATTTTGGGGATTTATCATTTGATGACTACTCTTCACAATACACTCACTCTACATATAGAGATGATAAAGATAGTGAAAAATTTAAACCTCATGGGAACTCTATGTGGTACTAAGTCACTCATGTATGTTACCATGCAATGTATAAAGTGTAAAATATTGTACTAATTCATTATATATAAATGATTATGGTGTGTTTAAACTTCTTTCATTAATTACTACATATTTTCTACACTCACAATGTTTGCCAGCTCGCTATATAATCAACTTAAATCAGTTAAATCCATCATGCAATGCATTTCCTTCCAATTTTTTGTGATAAACTAATAGATAATTGACTAAATAAACATCCTGCAAAGTTTCAATAAAAATTTCCAAGTTTTTCTTACAATTTCTGTGGTTTCCATATTATTTTTATCGATACGATAATATCCCGATATTTCCATCAATATTTCCGTGTTTTTGGATTACCGATATTTCCGATATCATCGATATCATCGATATTTTATACCTTGCTTCTACCTCATAATCCCACCTAGCTATTGACAAAAAAGAAATGGATCATCTATTTTTCCTATGACCTCAAATGCGTCGTTGAAGATGTTTTAGTATGTTGCTGTGTATATATGTTTATTATTAAATTTTTTATGAATGATTCAATTCTTAATTCTTTTAGTATGCTCCGTTGCATTTTATACATCGAGTATTTTAGTGGTTAGATTCTTGGTTAAAAATTTAATAGTCAAAATTGGTACATCATACACTGAACAATGTAGAATAAAATGTATATGCCCAAAAGACCATGACAGAAAAATTCTGAGTCTTAACCTAATATCATATATAGTACAGAGAAAA